AGGACAGGACCAGCATCCACGAGGCCATGGAGCAGCAGAGCATCTCTATTTCTAAAGCTGGGATCGTCACGTCGCTACAGGCTCGCTGCACCATCATCGCCGCCTCCAATCCTATCGGTGGGTGACGGAGCGGTTTAATAAAACCCTAATGAGGGTCATAACTTCAGTTCTGCCGTCGGCACTTTGAGTTGCATGTTAATCCATAACGCTGACTTCCTGCTGGGCTGAACGTGCGTTTCTGACAACATTCATTTCTCTCATGAAACTCTTCTTTCTTTTTAAAGGTGGACGCTACGACCCGTCTCTCACGTTTTCTGATAACGTGGACCTGACGGAGCCCATCATTTCTCGATTTGACGTTCTGTGCGTCGTAAGAGACACCGTCGACCCTGTGCAGGTCGGTCAGTATCTCATTAATATGCATGCTAATAAGAAACTAATGAATTGGACCGTAAACTAAAGTCTTACCAAACCTGTATATAAATTGTTTTAAATGTAACAATATTTATGTTTGTATATTACTAATTCAAATTACTATCTATATTTATACATAAAGAACACTTAAAAGACAAATGTTATATGCACCATTTTCATGATGTTCATATTTCCTATTTTACCTGATCCAAATTTAGAGTTTGTTATTAATCAACTTTTCATTTTATGTATAATTTTAGTCCATTGACATTCAAAGTGCTGACAAACTCACCTAAACTTTGCCGATAACATTACCCATAATGCAATTCTCTGCGTTCAGGATGAGATGCTGGCTCGCTTTGTGGTGGGCAGCCACATCAAGCATCACCCGAGCAACAAAGAAGGGGGCGTGGCCGGTTTAGAGGAAGTGTTGCTCCCGAACACCTCGGATGCCCCGCCCATCCCGCAGGAGCTGCTCAGGAAGTACATCTTATACGCCAAAGAGCGCGTGCGGCCCAAACTCAATCAGATGGACCAGGACAAGGTGGCCCGCATCTACAGCGACCTTCGAAGGGAGTCTATGGTGAGGCGCTTTGTGCTTTACTAGTTTTGCGCGATTTAGCAAAATCACACCGAAATGGCGTAGCGCGATTGTCAGATCACATTGTCAGACACCAGATTTAATTTTGGATATTTTTTTCACTAGTGTGATCAGGACACTATAGTTATTTAATTGATGTAAGTGAGGAGAGCAAAATAAAGGAAACTGACATATTATACCCAAATTCTAAAATTTGTAAAAATGTGGGACCAGAAATGATTCCTCCACTGAGCTGATGATGTTTTCTGTAATTGCTAATGCTCTTTACACACACACTGAACAACATGAAGCATTGCTTGGTCACTGGTTGAGCTAAACTCGTATTATCTAATTATTTAGTTGACAGATATTCATCATAATTCACGTGTGAGTCTAACAGAAGGACGGTTCTTGACATTTTATCAATTTTCGAAACTATAGCGATTAAACCGTGATAATGTGAGAAATGTTGAAGGAGTCTGAACACATTTTGGTTTACTGTATGCGCTGCATGTTTCAGAGTAAATCACGGCACTGTGTTCTTAAACATGAACCGTTTACGCTTTTTTATAGTGAAATATTACAATAGTGATATTTATTTTGCTTTTAGTTTATATTTATTACTATCATTAGTTTGTTGCCAAATTGATATATAATCACGAAATGTTGGCTAAATTAATCTCTTAATCTCTAAACCGCTTAATCTCTTTTTCTATTTTTATCATAATTTGATTTATTTTTCATCCTTTTAAGTCAAATGATGAAATGAAGAGCGTTTAAAAGTGTGGATTATGACATTTTCAAATCGATCCTCTGAGCTTTTTGGAGATGCAAAGGCGAAAACCTGGATTTTGTTGGGTTTTTTTTTCTGTCGCATTTGTTTCAGTTTGTTTTCTACACATTTCCCAGCCAATCTTTTTAAAATTCTTCAGATATTTCCTAAATAAGAGTAAATGTTGACAGAATTTTCCTATATGGGTGAAAGGAGCAGCTTGGACATTCTGCTAAATATCTCCTACTGTGTTAACATGTGAACTTTAAAATGAGGTCGTTTTTATGTCATAAGTTGATACAAGTATCACAAATAATGAGAAAGTTGGCGCGTCCCATGGAACGTGTCCGTCTGGGCGTAGTTACCCCTGAAATGTGTTTTGTTCTCAGTTTAATGATACGTGTTGTCTGGCAGGCCACAGGAAGTATCCCGATCACCGTGCGTCACATCGAATCCATGATCCGCATGGCCGAGGCTCACGCTCGCATGCACCTGCGGGATTACGTGCTGGAGGACGACGTGAACATGGCCATCAGAGTCATGCTGGAGAGCTTCATCGACACGCAGAAGTTCAGCGTGATGAGGAGCATGAGGAAGGTGAGTCATTGTACAGGTCCGGGATCAGTTCTGCAAGTCTAAGCCTAGTTCACACTACATGATTTAAGCCCGATTTGCCAATCGTTGAAGGCCTGTTCACACCGGGATGAATTTCGCGCGCGATATTCGCCGACGTTTAATGCCTCATGACTAAAAAATGGGTGCCAATGTGAGTGTTCGCACCGACGCGAAAAACGCCACGCGTAATTTAAAAAAAAAAACGCCTCGGGTTCGTTTTTTTTCGGTTTGAACCTGTCCGACCAACGAGATTGGCGGGTTTGCTCACGTGTCTGGTACTTCTGAAGTTACAGTAAAAAACACAACTTGGGGCCGTTCAAACACAAAACGGTCTTGCCGAGCACAAGAAGAGATAGCCTACAAGGCAAGATAACCCAATAAACTGGGCATGTTGAGCTGCTGGTCTCGGAGCATAAAGAGCTATATGATAATATTTATATTAGTATTTCTGTAATAATAGTATAGTATAGGGTGACCAACAGTCCTGTTTTCCCAGGACATGTGTAAAACGGTCACTTTGTGCTTTATAGAAATCTGAGTTGAGATGAGAACTGCGCTGTGCGTAATGTTAGTTAGATTTTGACAGGTGAGGAGAGGAGATAACCGCTCTGCCGACTCTTTGTATTCTTTCTTTTATTTTATTTTTCCATTGTGACGAGATGTTTGTTTGTGGGTTTTTTTTTTCTCGCTCGATCCCCATGTATTAGGACGAGTGTAATTGATTGATTGATTTAATTAAACGCGGGGAAATACGACAACTCTCGTCTCTCGTGCATCTGTTCATCTGACAACTGCTATGTTTTTATCTCTGGGCAACATCTCAACTTTGCGTTTTACGCGTCCTGTTTCCACGTCCTGTCCTGACTGTTTTTAAGTGATGAAAATGTCCTGGTTTCCAAAAAAAACTGCTGGGAAAGATCAGTCCTACAGATGGGCAAACAAGGTGGACGAGGAAGAAAAACAAGATAAAGAGGATGAAAACTAAAGATAGATTATAGATATAGATTTTGTTAGTTCGTTTTTATAAGTTTGTGAGCTATTTTTTGTTACATTGAGGCATTTCTTTTAGTTATTTATTATTTATATATTTATTTTTCTAATACAGAAGACATTAGCTATTTCTATCATTATTTCATTCGTTTTTTTTCTATCTCTCAAAATAAAACATTGAGACATGAATATGATCACCCTAGTATAGTATTCTATTATTATTTCTGTTTTACATTAAGTGCCATCTAATGTCAGGGAATGAATTTGCATGTTCACTCAGCTCATCGTCAGCGAAAAACGCTTGGGTGTGAACACAAAAAACGCTTTGAAAAACGCTGACGAATAATGCGCGCTGATATTCGTCCCAGTTTGTACGGGCCCTGAGGTCGCCGACAGGTCAGGGTGTTATCGTGTGTTAATCGCGGGGGATTAGCGGACGAACACTCGCCAATCTGTTAGTATGAAAGAGCCAACAACGCCGAGCCCAGAAAAATATCTAGCATGCTAGATATCCAGAGCTGTCGCACGACTCAACCTCAGTGATGTCATGAGCTACAGCCAATCAGAGCAAGGCATGGATTTAGGTCACCGGGTAAATCTTATTTTTTGCTTTTTTTGCATTTTTTTTCTCTCAGAGCAAATCATCGCGCAAACAGTTTGAAGCACAAGTTTATGTCTGACGTCCATATTCGCGTGTTGTGTTCCCTTCTTCGCTGGGTATTGGGGCACGTGCTTTGTCGCGTCATTTCCGGTTCGTTTTAGCGCGTGATTTTTCGTGATGAAACGTGGTTTGTTGACAAGATAGAATTGTTGGGTCAACCCGTGTAGTGTGTTACCTCCTGTTGTGGATTGTGTTGAACACTCCTGATTTCACAGAGAGCAAGTCATGTAGTGTGAACTAGGCTTAAGATGCTAACCGAAGTGTTTCCACAGACGTTCGCGCGGTATCTGGCCTTCAGGCGAGACAACAACGAGCTGTTGCTCTTCATCTTGAAGCAGCTGGTGTCTGAACAAGTCTCGTATCAGCGCAACCGTTACGGCGCCCAACAGGACAACATCGAGATCGCGGAGAAGGATCTGGTGGACAAGGTAACTAACGGATACGTTTAAAAAAAGTTCCGTAAGGTCTGAATTACAATGTGTCATTCGTGAATTTGAGCTTTAACTCGAGTCTTTATTTTTGTCTTCAGGCCCGGCAGATTAACATCCACAACCTGTCTGCGTTTTACGACAGCGACTTGTTCCGCTCGAACAAATTCTCCCACGACAGCAAGAAGAAGCTCATCGTCCAGCAGTTCTAGGCTGGATTTGTTGTTTGGGACTTGTATATAATTCCATCATGTGGTTATCGGACCAGTCGTTACATGGATTTAAAATCGTTTTTGGTCCATTCATGAACTCGTTGCCGTAGTCATTACGGGCGTAGTGTTCTCCTCGCTCTTGGCTGCATGTGACATCCTGAATTGAAAATGTTGTAAAAATGGAAAAATAACTTTTGTACTGTTACTGAGCAATAAAATTGATTTGTGTATGTAACTGACCGTTTGTTTAAATTATTACGCTAGTGAAATCTCTGCTTCCTGTCAGGAAATGTAAAATAATTAGTTTGCTAAACGACAATGGTCTCGTTTGTGTGGAAGCTTATTTCCGCTTAATCGTGACCTCACATTTCTCGCAGATTTAAGTTTATATCTTGCAATTTCAGCTTTTTGACTCACAATAATAATAAATTTTATTTATAGCGGAAAGCGCTACATTTCGAAACTCGCAATTGCAAGTTACTAAATAAATACTGACTTTTTCTCAATTGCGAGTTTATACCTCGCAGTTCTGACTTGATTTCTTGAATTTTTTAGGTTTTCGGGCAACTCGCGTAAATCTCAGAATTGTGAGATATAAGCCGTTTATACCTAGCCATTTTATTTCTTGCAATACTGTCTTGCAATTTAAAAACTCCCAATTCTGAAAAAAAAAATATAATAAATGAATGGGAACACTTGACAATAAGATTTGTTAGTTAACATTTACTAATAATAAACTGCACATACAGCATTTATGTTAGTTACTTTATTAACTATAATAAACAGTAATTCAACAATGAGCACCTGTGTGTTATTAACCAACGTTAACAAAGATGAACAAATACAGTAACAAATCTATTGCTTATTGTTAGTTAATAATGAACCTTACTGTGAAAAATAGAGCGTTCTGATTGGTCGACGACAGGTTTCCATCGCTGTCGCTAAAATAAACCCGGCGGTGTTTAGGACCCATTCGCCCTGCAGTCACTGCGCCAGGCAGAATCAAACCCTCCAAAATCCTCAATATATCCATGCTAATTCATTGACTGCAAGAGGAGCAGCAGTCTAGTTTTCCTCGCATTGTTTGCCCAGTGCATCACGCGTGTCCTGATAGATAGGCGGAAGAAGCGCGAAACCATCGACTGACCTTCTGTTTATAATTCCGATGAGTATTTCGTGCTCGTGCGTCTCTTCTCGCGCACGCGGAGGTCAGTTAGTCACGTATGATGCTCATATGAACGACCTGTAATACCGACGCGATTATTCCTCACTGCGATCATTTAAAGCTGCAGAGATGTCAGTCGTGTCGATTCAGTGCCTGATGTTTGGTGAGTTCAATGGATTTTTTTTTTTTTTTGTGTGTGTGTGTATGTATATAATGAATCAATGGATGTTTGTAACTAAATATTTGATTGGATATTTAAAAAAAATATTTTAAAGTATAAAAAAATAGTTTTTTTAATGAAAACATCTATTTTATAAATTAATGTATGTGTTTGTAAAATATTTGTGTCAAGCAACTGATAATTTCATGATTTAATCATTAAAGGCTCAGATAATGTGGTAGAGTAAGCACAAGGTTTGATTTATTAATGCTGTGTCTGAGACCAGCATCATTCAGACTTGAGTGGAGAAAAGGGTTTGTTGTTTTCTAAGAGGATCATTTGTGATTTTTTTTTTTAATGTGCTCATCATCATATCCAATATCTTGTATGACAAGTCCAGTCACTCATGATTGAGATATTTGAGTATGGATCTGTAGTGCAGATTATGGCACACGCCCCTTTCCCTCTCTATCTAGAGCTAGGCGAGCTGGTGTGTTCAGGTCCAGTCAGGATTTTCAGCATGATTCATCATGTAACTGAGAAAAGAGCATTTTGCAGCTGTTGTGGACACTGATTGTTTTTGGCATGCTGTGTGTGTATGTGTGTGTGTGATGGCTTGTCATGCCCATGAGGCCTGGGCTGACAGATTGTGCTGGTCAAAAGGCTCTCTGTGCTGCCGTCCACACAAACCGATGGCCAGACACAACAAGGACAGGTCAGGTTTGTTTACTCTAATGGCCAGCGCAGATTCAGGGTCATTTCAAGTCCATGTTCACCATCACAATACACACTGTTATTTGTTCATGTCCTGATATAATGTGCATCTTACAGTGTATTTTTTTTAAACATACACGGTTAATATTTTGGTATTCTGAGGAGGACCATGTAAATATCAATGTGTTTTAGGGGCATATGTGGTAATCACAAGGTTTATATTATATTCATTCATATACTTAAAGGGATAGTTCACTTTGAAATTAATTTTTTAAATGTTTTATCTCACCTCAAGGGCATCCAAGATAAGTGTCTTTGTTTCCGCAGTAGTTTAAATTTGGACGTTTTTAGGTCAAACCGTTCTCCGTGCATGCACAGAGAAGTCCAAATTAAACATGATTTAATGACTCGTGAATGTAAGTACACATTGATGGCCTAAGTCAGGAAACGAGCGGTTTGTGTGAGAAAACAAACAGTATTTATATAGTTTTTACCTCTTATAACCTTGGACTACTATGTAAGTAACACTGTAATCTCCAAATCCATGGTATATATCAGTTTATTTCTCTGTTCTGTGGATTCACTATGGTAATACATTGCTTTTTGAACTTATACCATGGTATTATTTGAAGTTCCTTCGCGTGCCATATAGTAAACATTTGAAACTCACAGTCAAAGTATAGTATTGCCTAGGGATGCACAATACATCGGCCACAAAATCGGTATCGGCCGATATATGTTAATTTTCAATGTCATCGTTATCGGCTCGATTTAAAATTTGGCCGATATATCAAAGCCGATAAATAATGCATTATTTCCTTCAGCTGAGACACTTTAGATGCGCACTGTTCGCCATGATGCTTTTGAATTGCTTGAAATATCATTGAAATCACTTCAAAAAAGGAAAATATACAGTTCAGCTACATGATCGGCTACATCAAATTATAATGAGAACGTTATAATTGTGTGTTTGGGTCATGGATTTTAATGGTAAGACTTTTGTTTTTGTAATCAGGCTCTCAAAAAATTATATTAAAATGTTGATTTAGATGTGTTGGCCAAATATATCGGTTATCGGTTTTCAAGTATATCGGCCGATATCGATAATTTTCAATTATCGGTATCAGCCAAAATGTTCATATCAGTGCATCCCTAGTATTGCCGTTTAATACAAGTTGTAGTCTCATGGATATATCATCTTTAATTGGACACATACCATACGGAGAGCAATTTAAATTCCGTAGTATAGAAATATGGTAATCATTCAGTACTACGGCACCGCTCGTGCTCTCTTTAGCAGTGACACAACCGCAGACCCGCAGCTGCCAGTCTGACGACTATAAATCTGAGTCCTGGTGCTCGATGCCACCTACACCCACAGGCTCTGCTGCAATGCAAGCTGGCACAGCCCAGACACACATTCAGGTCAGGTGACATCAGCATTTATCTCGACTTCATCTCCGAGAAGAGAAGAAAAGAAAAGGCACAGGGAGGTTTTAGAAAGACGCGGGGATAAGAAATAATTGGCAACCGGATAAATTCTCAGTGTGTTGCTGAAGTGCAGGTGCCTCACGCTTTAAATTGGGCCAAGCTTTGGTGGGATTGAGGATTTCTGAATCATCTTATCCTGTGTTCAGGTTTTCCTCGGCTCTTTCACAGAGTCTGAGACTGGCGCAGGAGAAACCGCTTGTATATTTAGTACAATAGCTGCTATGTGAAGGATTTGTGTTCGTATGAGATGGCGTGGGATTGGTCTGAACGGATGAATGTGCACTATATTAAGACTTCTGAAATCAGACAGAAACAGTTGCTGTGATATGAAACCACATGTCTGGGGCATATTTTAGCAAGATATTTGTTTTGTTCTTCAAGCTAATGCACAAATGTGACCACAAAACCAGTCTCAAGGGTCAGTTTGATCAAATTGAGATCTGAATGGTGAATAAATAAGCTTTCCATTGATGTTTGTGAGGAGAGCACAATATTTGGCTGAGATTCAACTATTTGAAAATCTGGAATTTGAGGGTGCATGTTCGTGCTTTTGCTGCTATTTTTAGTATATTTATGGTAGGAAATTTACTAAATATCTTCATGGAACAACACAATCTTTACTTAATTTTTCTTAATGATTTTTGGCATAAAAGAAAAATCAATTCAATTTGCCACAAATATATATAACAGCCAGACCGATATTATCGGCCGATATTAGGCATTTTCCAAAATATCGGTATCGGCAGTCATAATGGCCGATAAATGAATATTTAAAAATAAAATAAATTGGACGAAACACCCTTCAATCATCTCTCCTTGGCCTGTTATATTGAAAATGTATGTTTTACAATTTGCAGTATGATGTTATCTATTGCTAAATCATGGCTCATCATAGACTAGCTAATGCCACTATCATCAGTGGAAGACCGCTAACGTTAACATTAATGAGCTTGGAAACCACAATGAACTTTTTCTGCCTAAATAAAGTAATGATTACTGTATTTATAACTAGCATATCTCTAGTTACAATCCCTGCATTGTAAAATGTAAGTTAGACTTGCGAGGAGTGAACATTTAGACATAGAGAAAAAGTATCAAAAGTATGTTGTGCAGAAAAGTTAGCTTTTCTTTTACACGTGTGTGAAATCCAACTATATTTAATAAAAAAAAATATCGGCCGATATATCGGAATATCGGATTTTAAACCCCAAAAATATTTGTATCGGCCTTCAAAATCCTTTATCGGTCAGACTCTAATATATACCCACGGACTGGTTTTATGGTCCAGGTTCACAAATGTTTTATCTTGAGTTTCATCCAGTTTATCCAACTCTCTCCCCGTTGTGAATATCCCGGACAGGGTATGTTGCCGCAGAGCCTCTATAAACGACGTATTAGCTGTTATGATTAATGTACTATCTAACGCTTGTCTGAACTTTGAGAGGTTCTCTGGGGCGGAAAGGCCAAGGAGTGTTCCTCAGAGCCGTCAGCAAATTCACATTTTTCATTCACTGATCAAGCGAGGTCAGAAATAGCCTTGCAGAAACCGGAGTCCACTGAGGCGAAATAAGATTGCGTCAACCATAATTAATGTGATCTAGTGGAGTGAGACACTAAGGACGTAGACTACAGAGATGGATAAGGTGACCGTGTGGATGCTGCTGCACTTTTGAGCTGGTGTAATGATTGGTAGATGTTTAGTACAATAGAAAGATGGAGGAAAATACCCCCAAAATGTAACTAATTATATCCTTTTGTTTTTTGTTAGTGACCATGCAGGGATTTCAAGCTCTAAAAAGGACAAAAAATGAACAATTGATACTTTTTGAAGTCACTATTTACTGATAATCTTAGCTCTGAAATCTTATCAAGAAAGGTCACGTGACACTCAATGGGACGGGACCAATGGCGTTCAGCGTCATTAAGTTTTTAACTAATTTGAACGCAGAATTGGAGACTACGCATCATGGCAGCAAATAAATTTGTTTAGCGAACAATATTTGGAGAATTGTATTAGAGCCCGACCGATAAAGGATTTTGAAGGCCGATACCGATACAAATATTTTTGGGTTTTAAAATCCGCTATTCCGATTTTTTTTTATATTGTTGGATTTCACACACGTGTAAAAGAAAAGCTAACTTTTCTGCACAAGATACGTTTGATACTTTTTCTCTATGTCTAAATGTTCACTCCTCGCAAGTCTAACTTGACTATAACTAGAGATATGCTAGTTATAAATACAGTAATCGTTACTTTATTTAGGCAGAAAAAGTTCATTGTGGTTTCCAAGCTCATTAATGTTAACGGTAGCGGTCTTCCACTGATGATAGTGGCATTAGCTAGCTTTGTGGTTAGCTAGTCTATGATTAGCAATAGATAACATCATACTGCAAATTGTAAAACATACATTTTCAATATAACAGGCCAAGGAGAGATGATTGAAGCGTGTTTCGTCCGTTTTTATTTTATTTTTTAAATATTCATTTATCAGCAATTTATAACTGCCGATACCGATATTATGGAAAATGCCTAATATCGGCCGATAATATCGGTCTGGCTCTAAAATTGTATACTATTTATTCTGCATGTACAACATTCAACTTCAAGTGGCATTCTGTTCCTCACTTTTCCAAGTAGGACGCTGGATATTTTCGAGTTGAATGGAATAAATGTAGTATGTTTTTGGACAAAGGCCTTGTTTCCACCTTGGTATTAAGATTGTGTTTTGGTGGACGACGCTAAATACAGACGTAAACAGGGTCTAAAACGTTTTGAGCTTGTCCACTTTCGACCACTTCCAGAGGTAGTCAAAAAACGCATTCAACTGAATTGCTTTCGTAGTGTAAACGCTCATGTGGTCGAATGTGTTCGAACAGCCACAAAAGACCATATACTCTCCGCCAACTGACCTAATGTGTAAATATTATAGGAAGCGCTCTAGCCAAACGGGATTTAAAGGAGTAGTTCACTTTTAAAAAAAACATTTGCTGATAATTTACTCACCCCCATGTCATCCATAGATTGTCTTTCTTTCTTCAGTCGAGAAGAAATTAAGGTTTTTGATGAAAATATTCCAGTATTTTCTCCATATAATGGACTTCAATGGGAACCAAACTGTTCAAGGTCCAAATGAGAGTTACAGTGCATCTTCAAAGGGCTTTAAACGACTCCAGACGATGAATAAGGGTCTTATCTAGGACCCTTCGAGTCATGACTAAAAAAAAGATTCGTTCATTTTGATGAACGAGTTCGAACAGGAGAGTCACAAACGCGCATCACAGAACAGAACAAGGTGAGCATTTGAGCTTATAAAACTTAAACTTTTTTTTTTTTTTTTTTAAATGAGCGATCATTTCGCTTTATAAGACCCTTATTCATCATCTGGTGTCGTTTAAAGCCCTTTGAAGCTCCGCTGAAACTCTCATTTGGACCTTGAACCGTTTGGTTCCCAATGAAGTCCATTATATTCGACTGAAGAAAGAAAGACATGAGCATCTTGGATGACATGGGGGTGAGTAAATTTTTAGCAAAAGTGAACTAATCCTTTAAACTTTGTAGGCTAGAGACTCTGGTTTGAACATTCCCAAGCACAGATTTCTCGCCCATAGACCCTCCGCTTGAAGAAATCAGGACAGAAGTGGTTGAAAGTGGACAAAAGAGACAGGTGTAAAACACCAGGTGTTAACGGGAATGTGATTCAATCGATTTTAACACCAGATATAAACAGGGCCAAAGTGGTCTTAAGCATGTTTTTGGCTTATAATCAACTCATTTACTCAGTAAATGTCATCTGGTTATCTGGGATTATGCTGCCCTTCTGGTTTGGAAATTTCTCCAGAATTGCATGGCTCAAGATCGCTGGACGTCCAGGGTCTTCAGAGACTCTAAAAACCACTGGAACGTTTCCATAAAGTTGATCTATTCGTAAATTGGAGCAGGAAGTGCCCAGTTTTCCACCAGGTTAATTAACGCACAATCACACACTTGCTAAATATAATACCAGAGTCACATCAGCCTGCTGGTCTCCTTAATTAAACCAAACCTCGCCAGAGAATATATTTCATTAAACAGCCCCATGAATAAAAACTAAAGCCGTGTCAGATTTGGAGAACTGCGTAATTGGCTTTGAAACTCCATCTAAGGCAAGTTGCAGATTTCAGACCAGTTGTTGGCTTTTCTCGGTGCTAAAAACCAGCGCTAATCCTGTGGTGACCCGATAGGGCGAGGAAAGATAAGACCTGCTGGTTTTAGACTCAATTCTAAGCCTCCATGATACAAGGCCATCTGTGGTTGAAGCCCATTGAGGCCAGGACTCGAGTCTCCAGTCAGTGTTTGATGGAAACCATCTGTCACAGTTTGAGAAAGATTCATTTCAAGTGAGCTATTTAAACTCTGTAAGGGTGGATGTCCTCTGCAGGGGTCCAGTCTGCAAGAAACGTCAGCAAGATGGTAGAATACTGTACATTTCTTGTATTACTACCCACTGCTACTTATACCAATGACGTAAATAAGCACAGTTTATGCGAGTGCGAGAGCGTTGCCATATAGAGTGACGATGTTGTATTAGAATCGGTAGCAATTCAAAGTCAATACAAAAAAAATCAACTAGTAAGCACATTATTTGTAATTGAAAAGGTTTAATGACAAAATATGGTTATGGTTACACTTAAAATAGATGTATGAGATGATAACTTATGCCATTAATTGTACCCAGCATATATGTAAAATGTTACCAGAGAGAGAGAGAGAAGAGGAGGTTAAGAGAGAGAGCCCCAAGAAAGGGACCCAGAGAATAATAATTTTTTTTTTTTTTTTGTGTGTGTGTGTGTGTGTATGTTTATTCATTTTGATATATCCATGTATTTCATGCATTTGCTTACTGATTCATTTACTGATTATTTGTTCATTGCCTATGTAACGACCAATGCTTTGGCAATACTGTATAAGTCATGCCAATAAAGCTCATTTGAATTTGAATTTGAATTTGAATAAAAGAGGCGGAGCAACAGTTACAATCTTGTTTTATCCTTTCCCCGACCATGTGACTTTAACCGAAATGTGAGACGTTCAAACTGACCAATCAGATAAATACAACTTCACCCATTGTACTAAAGATTTGACAATAAAATGAAAAAAAAAAAAGGGCTTCGGGTCATTTTGACCCACAAGCGAAAGATGTGGGTTAAATCTTTTTCTTTCCTCCAGGTTCAGTATTCCTGGTTCTGGTGTGTGCCGAGGGCCTGAGTGCCGGTCCAGAGCTCCTCCCCAATCCTCTCCGCTCCCACGGGCCGGTTCTGGATGTTCCCGTTGGCTTTGAGGAGCGCGAGGAGGTCTCGAGGGACCGTAAACCTGGATTCGTGGAGAGTTCTCAGGAGAGCTCTGGGTTTGAAGACAGCGAGGATGGCAAGAGCGCTCGCGCCGAGACCAAAGACAGCGGCGCCATGAATGGTGAGCAAACCAAACGCGACTCGTAAGTGCATGGCACTTCAAATTTTGGTTTTTGTAAACTTTCAAAGACTTTACTTTTGCATCTGACATCAACTTTTCAAAATATTCCCTCTAACAAAAATTTGACTTAAATGAAATTTGGTCACATTATTGCAATCAAAAATCTGTCAAGTACTCGTCGTTTGTCAACTAGGGGTGTAAATATACACTCTTGGCAAAAAAACGAATGAAATTTGGTTGCAATTTTACGACTGAAGATGAGTCAAGTACTTGTCATGTCGACTAGAGCTCGAAATATTTGCTCTGACAATAATTCAGGCGAAAAACACATTACTATTAAATGTACTTAAAACAATACTTAAGTAGATTTTAGTACAATACAACTACTATAATACATTTTTAGTACATTTTTCACCTGGGATGGATTGATTTTATTCCAGATGAAATTTGGTTGCATATTTAGCTGCATATTTAACACTTTATATTTTAAAATGGCAAAAATGCATATTTTTGATTGGAAAATAATCCTGGGTTTTAATAATAATACGTTTTTATTTTTGCAGTTCCATTTGCTGCCACTAGTGGTGCACACATGACATGTTGCATCTGTGAATGGCGCAACTAAGATACTGAATTTTTGTCTTTTCATAATGTGTCAGTCTCCGTATGACTCATCCTCTAGACAGTTATTTAGCTCACA